AAATTCATCGGTCATTCATTCGATTTTTAACATTTCAGAAATATGTGCGGCCCGCCAATGACTTGCAACCGCGAGCAACAAAAGGTTGCCGACCCCTGACTTGGAACTTTCTGATTATTATTTGCTGACTGTTTTACCAGTTTCGTTGAGCAGCTGCAAGTGTATTTGATAGCATCTAGTTCCTTGTTGAGTTAGCTGAATACAGAAGTTTTATACCACAAAGTATTTTTCTATTTGAATAAGAAGCAAGTCAGGAATTCGGTATCGAAAGTGCTAGTCCCTGAAGCTTTTTGGTTCAGTTAGTCTGGTGGTAAATTACTTTGTTTTTTGAAGTATGCATTTTTAGTTGGGTTGTATTTATTGTTAATAAAAAAAGATATTATTTCAAATGGCCAATTCTTAAACGAAAGTACACATTCACTAAATAGATGCGAGAAAAACATCCATGTTTTAGAAAAGGCAGGAATGATAATGAAGCGGAATGCTTGGTTTGCGAATATGGAACCTATATATCTGTCGTGCACAACGGTCATGGTGATTTGAACACACATCTGCAATCAGAAAAACATCGCAAAGCAGTAAGAGGGGCTGTTGCATCAACGAAAATGACAAACTATTTTGTTACAGCAGGAAGTAACTGCGAAGATGAAATCACTGCCGCAGAAGGCACTCTTGCATTTCACGCTGTTAATCATCATCATAGCTTTTTGTCCATGAACTGTACATCTGTTTTACTTTAAAATATTTTCCCTGATTCGAATGTATAGCGAAGAAGTTTAGTAGTGGCTCACAAAGACAGAAAAAGTTGTTACTAGCGTACTTGCGCAATATTCTATTGATGCTGTTCTGAAAAGTTTTGAAGAAAACGATATCGCGTATTTTGGCGTTACAACAGATGGCAGCAATCACAATGAACTGAAATATTTCCTACAATTATTCAATATTTTGACTGGAGGAAAGGTGGTTTGCAATCAAAATTGATTGAGTTTACAAACAAGGCAAACGAGACTGCCGACACAATTTCCACATATGTAAAAGACACCTTAGAAAAAAGGATGCTTTTGAAAAAATGTGTGACATTTACAGGAGACAACTGTAAATGCCCTACTGAAGAGAATTAGATCTCCAGAAAAATATGCATGATGAGAAGAGTAATTTGTAGTGACTTGATTTAAAAGCGTTTCTGTAATTTGTTTTAAGCAGTAATCACTATCCTTAATTTTCGGCACAATCTAATTCTCAATATTATTTTCCACTCTGAACTTAAGATTCATTTAGAGCAGTGGTCGGCAAACTTTATGTACTTGCGGGCCAAATGTACACATTTCCATGAGCGCGCGGGCCGCAATAATTCCGCTTTCGGACAATCATTACATTAAACTTCAAATTATGGCACATTCGCACCTTCTATTGCTGTGTTAAAAGCCTGCCACAATGAGATGTGTATGTGGCGTTTTTTCAATATATTATCTAACAATACATTGTTTTTATTTACCTATTATCAATGTGAAGGATGATGTTTTTATGGCAACTTGCCCGCGGTACGTCGTCCAAATGACGAGTATAAAATTTATTGTAAGTGTAATGCATTTTAGATTAAGCCGCTGACAGCAATATGAGCTTCCGAACGTGCAGATTACACGTTTTGCACTATCGCACACATGAGCTATGGCTTAGTCTCGGGTATCGGGGTCGAATTTTCGATGAGACGTTTCGTAGCGAGTTTAACATTAAATACCTCAAATATTTGCGATGCTGACCGGACATATGGAGCTGGTTTTGGAATGCGCGAGAAAGAAAAATATTTTTGCGTGCAAGCACTTTGGAATGTTCGCCCCTCGTCGCGAACTTCCTCCGTTTCCAAGACAATTTTAATATCAAAATTAAGTCGCACGGCATAGAACTGACGCTACTCATTATAAAACAAGCGTCGTACAGCATCACTTTCACATAAATCTGTGTGTGGACAATAATAAATTTAGGATCAATTTTTGTTATATGTATTAAATGTCGGGTCGTTCGAGGGCCGCAATAAATTAGCTCGCAGGCCGCATTTGGCCCGCGGGCCGCAGTTTGCCGAGCCCTGATTTAGAGCTATATTTAGAGAGTGCTTACCCGTCTGGTGTGAGATTCAGCTTGTGACCGAAGACAATACTTTTCATTCCGGTAGCTGGCGCTTTAGAATGAGTATCGTACAGCGTTTGCAGGCAGACATGCTTAGGCATTTCGGTAGCGCATATTTATGGTCTCATGAAAATACGAAGCTTCTGAAGTATGTGTACCAAGATGGCGCACAACCTGAACATCTTGATGCACATTCTTCGGGAGTGCCGAATATACTCATGCACTGTCCGGAATTTTGCTTTTTCAAATATGGTAACCCTATTGTAGTAGAAATTTTGTTTACAGTTTCACGGCGCGGCAGTGTGGCTCATCGTGCTAAGCGTTAGGAATACGCTCGCCACCGCACCTCTGATTAGTCTGCGTGGGTTAGAAAGTTCGAATCTCATGCAGAGATGGTTATGTGCGAGAGGATTGCTGGACTCTTCCTCGCCGTAGGGTGGTTCACGTAACCGCTGGTCGGTTATGGCTTCCTCCACCATCAAGTCCATGCTTCCGAAAACAAATAACTAAGTTAACTAGTCCCCTACCCGACATGGAATGGTAACCGGACGAGAGGCCGTGGTTCGTCATGTTGTTAAATCGTCCTATCGGTCCCCCCGGAATAAATATATAAATCCTATCCTACCCTACTAGTGGGTCAATCGATTTGAATCAATTAGGCAATTGAAGGTGGTTAAAGATTGTTGTTGCGCATGAAGCCTATTACTTTCGTTTTATTTTAAAATTTCTATGGGTTTTATGAGATTCGTTTTATCCCCCTGAAGTTTTGTGTGACAATGTCACCTAAATTAAAAAAATAGCGCACCGTGTGGCGGTTGCTCTCACCATCGCATTTCAGTGATATGATACTCATCAAACTGGGGATATTTTTAATAAGCTGCTAGCCTATCGGTACTGCAAAAGATCTGATAATACCGTTGTGACTAAAATAATTTACTATTTTGATTCACGTTCACATGGATCATAATCGTTACAGAAGCTGGAAGATTGAATGACGATACCCTGGTGCCTCTTCGGTTCCATTACATTTGAACCCACGTACATTTGAACCCATGACAATTGCACCTGTATGCTATTGCACCTATGAATTTTTTTTTGTTTCACGGATAGTTAAACCCATACTAACCCTAACCCATGGGTTTTAGCACCCGCATATAGATTGAACCCGTGGATATACGCATGGGTTCAAATGTACATGGGTTCAAATGTACGGTCACCGCCTCTTCTGCTTTAATATTATTTTTGTTTGTTTGCCATGGACCTTTCCCCGACCTTTAACCCCCTGAAAAACTTCCTAGACTTTAACATTGCAAAATTTTCGGGGCTTATTTTAAGAGTTGTTTCGCGAGTTGGCGCCTGCAAAATGGGCTATTTGTTTCAAACCATCATTATGATTCATCGCATACAACAATCTGTTCTTAAAAAGTACCAGTAAAAAAGGTTAAGCCTAGTCTATCACTGCTATTTTACCACTAATTTTTTATTACTGCAATTAAATCAAAACCCCTAAGAAGACAGAAAACTAACGAATAGAGTTCAAAAGCGCGAAAACGAGGTAATGTTAACGATCACGCCTGAAAATCTGTCTGAGTCAGAAAAGTGTCTGAGCAGATGCGAAAAGGGAGCATTGTTACGTCACTTTTTGCATCTTGCTGATTGGCCAATGTCACGAAGTAAACAAGGAAGTCCATGCTCGGGAAAGGTCCATTGGAGGCGCTGGTGATACATACGTTCACAGGTATTGCTGATTGTGACAACATAATCCCCTGGGCGGTTTTGCAAAGCGTGAGGCTTAGAAGACCTTGATTCGACCTTCTCGGGATTGCAGGTTTTGGTGCAAGCTTTTTATTGTTTTTGTGATATATTTGGAATTGATAACAATAACCTAATTTTACTGAGCTGTTTCCAATCAACGTTCGACTGTTTTGTAAGCTGGAAGCTACACTGTCAAGTACGTAATTAAGTTTATTGTTTTTAAATTTAGACTTCAGTTTATTTTAAAGGGCAGTCAAGACTTTATTTTTGAGGATCGCGTTTTTTTTTTATAAATGGGGTCAGGGAAATTACACTACGTCCTATAGTAACAAGCAACAATACATATTCTTTACGTTTGCTTGTCATTCATTTGCTGTTTGACTAGAATCTACAGCAGGGGTGCGCAGACTGCGGCCCGTAAAAAAACATTGTGCGACCCATGAAGAAGTGCCAATTTTAAATAATGTGACCGCGAAACGAGATTTTAGTTTAGGTAATCTGGTAATTGCGAGCAATTCAATCTCTTTGCGAGTTAGATGAAAAAGCGCGCTTGGATAACTTCCGCAGCGACGGGAGTATTTAGAGAGATTCTTTAGGCTATTGTTAGATATCGGTGACTGCCACTATCTAGCCTTGTTCGGAGCAAAAAATATTATGTCTTTATGCAAAAAAAAAAATAATTCCCCCTCCCTCAGTTAAAAAAACATTTTTGGTTGGCTATGCAATTTGGAAACAATGGGGCAAGAGCGCACGTTTCTTATATCCAAATTTCTAAATTTACCCAAATTAAACATTGGATATGTAAATTTAACATATATGCATGAAGCAATCTGGCAAACAATAGGCTGAGGCTAACACTAACACTTCTTTATTAGACAAGGATAACACACAACATGTTTTGACAAAATAGGACGTTACTCAAGATTGGTTATTATCAACAGGAGATAAAAATATGTAGTTGAATCGACAAAACAATATGAAATTTAAAAATGAATTTTTAATTTTTTTTATAAATGAATATTCGACAATCGTTAAATTTTCAAATTAGTAATGTAATCAATGAAATATATCCATCTGATGATAGATCCAGAGGAACAGAATACAACCAAGCAGGCATTTCATTAGATCAGGATTTCACAAATAACTCCGTTTAGATTCAAAGTAGGAGAAGCATTCACCATTCCTTGCCAACACTTAGATGGTTTGGAATCAACATTGAGATAAACAGTTGTGCTACCCATGCCGTGGAGTGGTGCAGTTGGATACCAGTTAATGAATGAATCTGCAGGTGTGACGTCATCCGTCTGAAAACAAACAAAAAAAGATTATCATTAGATTATGCTTGATCAATTGCGACTCTCACTGGTCTTCCACATGATGTAAAGAAAAACTTAATGTTCATTCTATAACGCGCGGTTCGGCAACCTACGCCCGCGGCCCATCGTGCTAAGCATTATAAATTCGCTCGTCATCGCACCTCTGATTACCCTGCGTAGGTTCGAATCCCGTGGGAGATAGTTATGTGCGAAATAATTGATGGACCCCTCGCTGCCGTAGGGTGGTGCCGCTGATCGGTTAGGGCTTCCTCCAACATCAAGTCTATGCTTCCGACAACAAACAAGAGAGCTATGCTCAAATATATGGACACGTAGCGTCACCTAATGGCAATAATTTTGATGACGTCATAGCAAAAAAAGTAATAGTCTTCTGGAAATTTTTTTTAACTTCAACCACTGAAAATTTCAAAGCAATTGGTCCAGTAATCAAAGAGAAAAGCGACTTTTTAAAAACGTGGCAAAGAACAAGAACAACAACAACATAATATTGAAACGATCACTATGTCCACTACGTGTCCAATAACTGGCTAACTAACCCTATACTCGACATGAACTGGCAACTGAACGATAGGCCGTGGTTCACCATATGATTAAGCCGTAATATTGCCTTTCCCCTCCCCGGGATAAATATGTGAATCCTAACAGATCTTCATGTTTAACAAGTATAAATAAACAGTCATAACATACTAACCTTTGGATCAAAGTAGATTCCTGTCCAGATATCAATCCACGACCTTCCCTTTGGAATATTACTTCTCAAGTAATTCATAACCGCATTGTAAGATTCTTCATCTTGAGTCAAACCAACATCTGCGTTACGTTTCTTACAAATATTAACTGCTTTGTTGTAGTTGACATCATCTTCAGCAAATATCACAGCGAAATGACAAACATTGCTGATCTTCAATTTGCAGTTTTCTAAAATATAAGAAGAGACATATTCTTTTGCGGTTTAACAACTTGCAAAAGTGTTGCTGTTCAACATAGCAAGAAGTTTGACGGGCTCGATGAACCTGTACTTCATTCCTCTATACTTAGTTCCTAATTTTAACTTTGCACATTGCAAATTACTCTTCCATAGATGTTTGGTCAGACATCTTCTTAGAGCAAGAGATCGAAGATTTGGAAAATTAAATTACTTTCGCCAACTATATATATATGATACTCATGAAGTTGTCATTTTGGTCTTCTGCGTAGAGCTGTGCAGTTGTGGGAAATAACAATCTATCCCCGACTACGGGTTGAAACAAACTTGCCACCAACTGCAGCACCGATCTCATTAAAAATCAACTTTGGCGTATGCAAGCGGCTCCAACTTCTGACAGTTTAAAAATTCCATTCCAGTGAAAAAGTTCCAAACTTCCACTTCACTACCATTGACTATGAAGGCTTACCTGGGGAAGGGGTCGGTTTCAGAGTTGTTTTGGTTGTTGTCGTCGGTCTCTGTTGGTTTCCAGATTGAACCTGTTGAGGCTTCTCCATTGCAAAGAGTTTTTCTTCAATCCGATTCAGTGCTGAATAGAAGAATATACATGAGTTAGTGTTTATTTCTTGCATTACCGAAAACAAAATGTCCAATTCAGCTTCAGAAAGCCGAATTTGTTTGTAGTTGATCTGAATAAAATATCTAATTTTATGCAAACCCGTTGCGCTATTATTTTGCAAAGCTTTAAATTAATAATTTAAAAATCACGGCATGATTTACTTCAGGTATATTTGTTGATCTATTACTGCATTTTACCTTTCTTCATCTCATTGTTTGTTTGCTTTTGTTCGCCCAATTCTTCCAGAAGTTTTCTGTTCATTGTTTCAAGTCCGACCAAATCTGTTGAAAGAAAGATGTAGAACAACGGGTGCAGTGAGTTACCAATCCTACTCATTGATCTTCATTTTTCTAATTCAAGTTGTGTTCATACAGATTTAGAATTTTGTGTTGCCTAAAACTGCATTCTGTATAAGTTTCACATTGCACATTTTTTTTCATGTTTATATATCGAAATAATAGGAGCATGTTTATAATAGCCCATTTTTCCTAGATCTTATTCACAAAAAGAATTTTCACTGAATTTTATTTCATATTAAAAACGCCACACAATCCTATCTTCAAATCCCTTATTTCACCTGACTGTTTTTACGGCTCTGCTTTAGGTCAGCCATTTTAGTCAGTGCGCTGGTTACTCTCGTAGTATGTGTACCAGGTAAGGGTTAGGATATAACTTTATTCCGAGTTTCCCTCTTTTAGTTCTATTACGAGTTCAGGATTGTTTGTGTTAGCCAAGTGAACAAACCCCCTACCTGTAGGTTTCAGTTCCATTACACAACATGATGTAAAATAGGTGAAAAAAATTGGTTACCTCCATCTGGAACGCCCATATTTTAAACTATTTTTGAAATGTTTGAATGTTTTTTTAATCGAGGTTACCTTCCAATTTTCACAGGTTTAAATTGTAAAAGTCCTAGTTTTTAATGGAAAACAGGGTTCCATTACATTTGAACCCACGACAATTGCACCTGCATACTATTGCACATATGGAAATTTTTTCGTCCTAATTTGAAACCATACTAACCCTAACCCATGGGTTTTAGCACCCGCATATAGATTGAACCCGCGGCTATACACATGGGTTCAAATGTACGGTAACCGAAAAACAGTTATCATATCGTCAATCATAGACATCGCACATTACTAACCTTTCCTCAAGTCCCTGATTTCAGAGTTTTGTTCTGTGTTTTCCTTCAGTAGATTGTCAATTTGACGAGACTGTTGAAGAGTGCTATCACGGAAATCATTTATTTCGTTTGTTTGCTTTGCGATCTCGTTACGATTCTCACTAATTTCTGGTAAAAAATATTACATTTTCCGATTCCTATACTTATTCTTTTTAGAGAAATGAATGTTTTCCCTGGAAGTAATCTTGTAAATATCTCTTGAATATCGTTTTACTCAAGAACTCTCCAATAAATTTGAATCCAAATCTCTATTAAACCAGATAGTAATTCTCCCTAAGAAAGAAATTTTAATGTTCTAGGAAGAAAATTTTTGCTCCATATTTAGCTGTAGCAATATTATATTCTTAACTTATCATTAGCCTACTATACAATTTGTATATACGTATTATAAACTATTCAAATAGTTCGAAGACAACTACCAAGTTAGGATTAGGTCATAATTTTCATTCCGATTTCCCTTGTTTTAGCTTTAATACTAGTTCCGGGACTGTCTGTCTTAGCCATGTGAATATACACCATGTCTATGGGTTTCAGTCCCTTTATACAACTTGATGTAAACCGAGCGAACAAAATTAGTTAACTCCATATTGGTACATAGATAGGTTTCAATCTCTACAATTTGATGTAAAGTAGGCGAATAATACTAGTTACCCCCATATTGGCACATACACTGCTGGAGCGCCGATTGAAGTGACGTTCAACAGTTTTTACTTACCTAAACTATTTTGAGTTATGACAGGAAGCAAGTTTCGAGTATTCCTTGATTCAGTAGCGTTTATAGATTTGCATGTAATCGGGAATTCTTTGTCATTCAGATTTTCATCAATGCGCTTGTCTGAGCAGTGAAACACGGTTTCATCTTGACACCAGGATAAAGTGATGACGTAGATTAAAAGAAAAACGATTGAGATTTTCATCTCAAAGTTTCAGGGTATTTACGTTATAACTGAATGAATAAAAATCATTTGTGTTTTTTCCAAAGCAACACGTAACCCTGAAATGCTGCAAATCTCATTCAAACTTCCACGAGGAGGTTGCTACTCTAATAAATGACGCTACTCGTAACTCTTAAGTTGTTCTGAAACTCGCGGTTCAAAGTAAGTGTGTTGACTGAATTGTATTTTTTTCTAGTTAGTTATTATTAGTACGTTTCCCAGCTTTTTAATTTAGGTGGGGGGGGGGGTCGAAATTTAGGGGGTAGTAAATATTTTGCTATTAGTGATAAAACTATTTGTAACTTATAAAAGTGTGTTATGTATTTGACTGACTTTCACTGAAATATGAGCCACTTTCCGAATATTCGTATACATTTTATATTCACCTCCTACGGGTGGGGTGTAGGGAAATCACTGGTTCTTAGTATCCCCATGTTCGTTTCTGTGTCCAAAAATAGCAGCTTTAGAAATTAAAATTAGTAATCACTTCAACTATGCATCCGCAATGGGCCATGGCCCCCACGCTCATTCTAAGTGTAAATTGTTAAATTCAACTATAATAGATCGACGTGTTTATACTGCATAACTGGACTCGTTGAATTGTGTTTCCATACACAGTTGAAAAGTAACAGGACGTAAACACTATATTGTTTTCCATTACAAAATCTTAATCTTCGTTTATTATTCTTATCTCCACCTAGAATCATCCCGCGCAATCTGTTTCGTCAACAGTCAGTTATAGTTAGGGCCGTCCAGGGCCATATATGAGATATATTAAAACAGCCGTCCATCTCCATTTGTTAGGGTTACCATATTTTTTTAACTTCAAAGCGGGACGCCTCCAAAGACACGACCCCCTAGCTGTGATCCTGTAACAGTACAGGTTCCGATTTTACTACATAGGCCTACATTTACAGCTATCACGCTGTTTTCATTGACCATATTGACATCGAGAGTTCATGCGCATATTCTCTGCCCAAATATCGGGTTCAGTTCGAAAAATAGAAAGAAATTGACGCTAACGATACAAACGATCCGAATTTGGATTTTTTAGGTACTTCAAAAAGAATATTAAAATAGTCTAACGTTTTCATGAATTGAGAATTTACTTATTCGCTCAAGCATGTGTTTTACATTCATGTGGACGTACGAACAGGACCATTTAGAATTGATTTTATATGTGATACGTTTTCTTACAATTTTAGTGGGAAGCAACGAAACAAACAAAATAACGCATTCACCTTCAGTATGTAGACTAGCGTTGTGCTACACAGCAACAACAGTAACGAGAACATGTTCGTGTATTATGCTGGATGGCATTCCAAAGCGGGACTTATGACTGACTTGTTGGGATGGCGGGACAAGACGCTGAAATGAAAGAGCGACTGTCCCGCCTAAAGCGGGACGTATGGTGAGCCTATCCATCGTTCCCCACGGCGACGATCGTTTCGTTCTACCCTTGACGAAAAATTATGACATCATCCGGGCATCGGATGCAGAAAACTGCAGTTTTACACTCACACATTTTTTCACAGATTTTAGGCATGATGGTAAACATTAGCTTTGTTTTTGTGACCTACGGGCGTATGTGGCCGAATATTTTACATCTTTTCAGAAAGTCGTGCTCTGCTTAATTAACAACTAAAGCTTTGGTATACAGGTACCACTGCGTGATATTGAGATTTTCTCTTGTATTTTATTTTGTCAAACGATGCATTAAAATAGGTTTCGGATATATTTTGAACTTTTCTTTTATTTGGAGTGACCAGACCCCTGTAATTTGTAAATTTTGTGTGCCGATCATTGGTGAAAATAGGTTTCGGATATATTTTGGACTTTTCTTTTGTTTGGAATGACCAGACCCCTGTAATTTGTAAATTTTGTGTGCCGACCATTGGTAAAAAATAGTTGAGTAGCCCTGCCCAAGGCCAAATTACTATCCACGTGGCAATTGGGCAATCAGTTCCCTAGTCAAAAAAAGATTCGAGCTCCTAATCAAGCTTGCATGAGCGTCCAAAGCTTTATTAGGCGTCGAATTAGTATTGACTAATAGCACACTGACAATAAAATGAAACCTGATTTACTCTATTACCTTCATAAGTTTCCCGTCATTGCGATGTTTTCAAAAACTTGAGCGCAATTATTAAATTAATATTTAGCTCCCACGTAATATATTTTCTATATAATTATTATAAGAAGGCCGCTTATCAGTCTTCCTCCTATGTGTGTTATCGTGTTATAAAGCTATCTTTGTTCAACGAGCCTGAACTATTTTTTGCCTAACCTGATTCTGTTAAGAAAAAGACGTGGAAACAACAAAAGTATATCACATGGAAGTTAAATTTATTTTGAATCAGTGAGGCATGTTCGTAATTTTTTCTATTCGGAATTTTAAAAATTACCCAAATCAAACATTTCAATCTCTAAATTTCACATTTATATCTTCATATTGCAAAATAAGTAATGTGATTGCCAAAGCCGAAATGTTTGCTATTTCTACTCTCAATGAATTTTAAACAATAATTTAATTTATTTGAAATGTCAATCGGATGTACTCTAAAGTAGGATTCAATGGTTTATATTTCATTGGTGATGGATCCAGAGAATACAACCGGGCTGACGTCACATTAGATCAGGATCTCACAAATAACCCCATTAAGGTCCCAGGTAGGAGAAGCATTCATCATTCCTTGCAATAACGGGTTGGGACCAGCAAAGAGATAAACATTCGTGTGATCTTTGAAATCAATTCCAGTATTGGGAATACCTTGATCCCATTTAACGAATGAATCTGCAGGTGTGACGTCACGGGTCTGAGAACGAGCAATGAAAATGATTAGATGAAGATTATCATTGGATTATGCTTGATCAACTGTAACTCTCACTAGTCTCTCAAGGGCTGTCTATCTCCATGTGGTCTCATAATTATTATAAAGAATAAAGTCTGATTTGGATATTCGTTTTCACTTCGTAGACGCTTTAGATACACTTAGTCTCTAAATGTCTGTCAAGTAAAACTCCATGTTCATGCTGCATGAAATTGATTTGTCCAAAACTGCTCAAATATTATAAATTTAAACGCGAATTGGGATATTCGATCAATCGTACATACGTATATATTCAAAAGCACAGAACTTTAACAATGCCCCCTGTACTTCAAGCATTTGATGTGCTAATGAGCGCAATCTACAGTAATGAACAAGAAGAAACCAGATATTTAGCAGATTTCTAATTCAATTCACTCACATCATCCCAACCGCCAGGACAGATGGAATCCCATAATCAGCAAGTCAAATTATGTTGAATAAATTTGACTTTTCTATTATCATTGAAAGTATGAAATTTTGAATATCAAATTTGGGATCCGATAAGTTTAAAGATTTGACGCCAGCCCCGACTCCGGTAGAATCAAAATCAACTCCAAACTCCTGAATGAAATCTTCACTGCGTCACTGATTATAATTAGGACCCAATTATGTTGATGTGTAAAAACTCCTGGATTGGTAACAATGTCATCGTTGTCTATTAAAATCGCTGGTGTAATAATCTCAAATCTCTATTGGGACCTCCAGAAGTATGCGCACCAAGATGGCGCACAACCTTAACATATTATGTGTGTACCAGTTAGGATTCGGGTTGTGCGACATCTTGGTGCGCCTACTTCTGGAGCACCCTCTATTGTATTTACGGCCCGCCCTCCTTCCTTCACCTGTCTAATAGCAGATCCTTATGTTTCACGAGCATAAATATAATAGGCATAGGACACTAACCTTTGGATCAAACTGGATTCCTGTCCACATTCTAATCCACGTATGACTCTTTGACATACCCTTTATCAAGAAATTCTTGATCGCATTGTAGGATTCTTCATTTCGGATTAAACCAACAACTGCTTTACGTTTCCTACAAATATCAACTGCTGTGTCGTAGACGACAGTTTGTTTCACAAAAAAATAACATATATTTCCAATCTTTAATTCGCAGTTTTCTGAAATTTAATACATTTTTTGAAAAGTGTTATCACTGATCATAGCAAATATTTTGCGGGCACCGATGAACGTGTACTTTTTGCCTCTGTAATTGGTTTCCATATATAATTTCGATTTTGCAAATTTTACGAAACTTCACAATTAGTGTCTGTCTGCTCATACATCTCATTAGAGCCAGCTCGCTAGGTGTTAGAGAAAGTATCTTACTCTTGCTAACTATAGACAAACTTTTACGACAATTATGAAGTTGTTATTACTGTGGTATTCCGAACAGGGCTGTGCAGTTGTGAAAGTTCTCAATCGACTCCCGGGTTGAGAAAAATTTGACTTTGAGTT